TTGCGAACGGAATCCTTTCCTTTTTCCGTTTTTTTGTAACGTTTTAGGTATTCCCGTCTACGTTCCTTAACTTTTTCAGCCTCGGTAAGTTTAGGGCAGGGCATCGTTTTTTTCTTGCTTCAACTCTAACTTTTTTGACCGCTTCACAATCAGTTTGAATCCTCTTTATGTGTGATATTCCCCTGTAATAGTTTTGAAAACAATCTAGTTAGAACTGTAGATTAGAATTTCTGATTCTTAATTAAAATAATAAAAACAAAAAAAAAGCAAAAAAATCGTTCAAATTATGAAATTCTCTTTTATTCACATTTCAGGAAGTATTTACGGGATCTCTCTGGTCTCATATCTCAAAAATAAACTTACCAACTTAATGCATAACAAAATTAAAAGTGAAAAAAGGAATTCTAAGAAATTATCAAACAGTAGCGGTCGCCATAGCAACGCATGCACACTGTTTACTATTACTCTTGATTATTGTAGTTGAAAAGTGGGAACGCCATGAAATCCAAATCAAGACCCATTTTGTTAATGAGTGGAAGAAAAAAAACTGTCTAAATATCTAGAAAACGTAAATTTTTATAAAACAACGTATAATTCTTTTCTCTACTAAAAATGACCAACGTTGAATTGACTTGAAAAGAATAATAATTTTATCTCAGTTTTGTGTGACCCATGTGTGAGCCTTTCAGGATTAATTACAACGTGACAAAAGCAAATTTGAAAACAAATATAATGGTTGATATTTTTTTTCAATATATCCACTGACGTCAAACTTCATTACAAACTCTTCTAGATTTCATTTCCATCTCAGTAATGATTTCTTGTAAATACACAACGTAATTTCTAACAAAAGGGCACTATTTGGAAACATTATATTACCTAAACTACAAAATGAGAAATATTTAGCGATAAACTATTACAAAAGTTTTAACAATAAACAATTTAATAGGTAGAAATGTTTAGACACTATACAATAAAAAAGTCTGAAATATTTTAACAATAAACAATACAATGGTCAGATATAATTAAGCAATTCACCAAACTGAAATATTTTAATAAAGCAAACGAAAAAGGGGGAAAAAGGGAAGGAAATTGTAAGTGCGAAAAACATGATATTCTTTAGTAATTTGTAAACTGGCGCTCATAATAAAGATACATTTTATTTACTACATAAACACAACAAAAAATTTTATCTTAAAAATTGTTATTTGCGAACGTTTTATCAGAGTCCCTTGAAAACTAAAAAAGAGCCTTATTTTGCAATTCCTGTCATCGAACCTGTTTTTATCACATTTTCCTTATTAGCTGTGCATCTTCGAAACCATATTTGTCTTTTATCACATTTAAAATATAAACATCTTAGATTATTAAATAAATATTAGCCAAAGCCACAGCGAAAACTGCTTCAAATCAGTTTTCTTATCAGGTCTAACATAGAGATTTAACGAGAAAAAAGATCAAATTAAATGTGTTTTTTTATTAATTTTGGATCAAACTAAATATGGCAAGGAATGCCATATTTAGTTATGGCTGGAATTTCGAGTTTGAGATAGGTTGGAAAATTCATGCTCAAGTTTATGTTGAAATTTTAAAATTGAAATTCGAAAATTAATGAGTGTCTAATAAAATCTTTATATTCTTGATATTTATTAAATATCTTCTCTTTTTTTTCTCCGAACGGAAGACGTTTTATCTACAAGATAGTTCGTGAGATGTCAAACCTAGTTAAAACATTCTGATCAGACTAATAATTCCATTCCAAGTCATGGTTTTTTAGACCTGTATGCGACACGTTGATAAATCTTAGCTTCTCACATTTGCAAATAAAGGGTATAATGGAACTTTTCTGGAGTTAATTGCCATCTATCTCATAGTGATGGAAAAAATAAAGATAATTTTTTTTCAGAATTTTTTTCGTCTATCTCTGGGTCATTATTATGTTGTAAAACACTGTCGCTGCTGTGATACTTTTATTTATTGATCTACAAAAATTGCCATCTGATTGTGTTTCTTTTGCTGTCATTTGTGAATTTAGTCGAATCTCATCTCAAGTACATATTTACGGTAGTATTGTCAATACGCTAGGTAAACATTCCCAGCAGAATCAAAGTATTTTCTTTGTAATTAAATTATTTTATGTCTTTTAGAAATGTTATGATAATGAAGAACATTGGTTACAGTTGATATCCCAGATAGCAAAATAAGGTTTATTTTCACTCTGAAAAAACCAAAAAAGGGTTTTTATGCGGTTTACGTGTAAACCTTCTAACCTTAAAACGAGATCTGTGATAATCTGCTCTATTCTACGCACATTACTCAAATCCAAATCCTTGGAAAACAACCTTCTATATAAAAACCTTAAATCGAGGTTGAAAAAATCCTTGAATGAAGCTAATCTTAAGGTAAAAATAATATTAAATCTAGGTAATTATAAGGTTTCTTTTCGCAACATCGCTTATGCTCAGCTAAAATCCACCTTGTCAGGAAATTTTCAATGGACAAGGCAATTTGATCTTATAGCTTAGTGTGACGCCAGATAAAACGTCATTATGGACCTAATAAGTGACCATTTTACCTGAGTGGCAATATTTTTTAAAAAAGCTTTAAAAATAACTAGTGGTTTACACCCCCTGCTCGCTAACACTCGCCAACCCCCGAAAATTGCTACGCAATCTTATATGGTTTGCTTCGCAAACCAAGCTTGCTTCGCTCGATACTAACTTAGGTACATTGCAAATGCACAAAATTCTAAGAATTCAAAACAATCATTCAAATTCATATAAAAACTTTTTTTAAAAAAAAAATTACATCTTTTTAGTAAATGCTAAGTCATTAAAATAAATTTGAATTCAAATAAATGACATGTCATTCGTTAAACCTATTAGAAATGTACTATAGTATAATCAAATAAATTCGTAATATATAAATTCGCGAAAAAAAGCGCTTTCGACGAAATACTAAAATAGAGATCTATCGACAAAGACTACTCACTTCTGCCCAGTTTAATAGTATGAGATTGCCGCAGCTGATGCTCTCTGGTTATTTCAGTTTCGTTTTTAAAAGCGCTATATGTTGAGCCACCTCAGCTAGATTTGGCATGTGGCAAGGTTGCCGCAAGGTTACATGCTTTCTGGGTATGTGTTGATCAATAATACGAAAATAATCGTGGTTGCGAAGATAATCTTACGCCAACAACGTTGGTTCTGATGTTAACTAGTGAAAAAGGTTAAGATGAGTCAATGATGAAACCCAAAGAGCAAATGCCTAATGCTTTTTTTTATGCTGTTTTCCAGTGCTTCTGCAAACTGTACCTTTAGAGCAGCAGTTTCGAGAAAATATTTTACAGAACACTAGGGTTCTGGGGAATCAAAGGAATAAAAGGTTCTGAAAGTTAGGATTTTTTTTCCTAACCATTTGTAATTTTAAAAACATAATTAAAGTTTTATCCAAGTAACTACAGTTTATTTATAAAATATTTCTGTCATTGTTATGAAATTAGCTAAAATTGAAATGCTTGCGAAGAAAGAAAAGCAAAACTTCAAAAATTATACTTCTCTAATGATGTATTGAAAGAGCTGATGACGCTATAAATTTTTGAAAATTTGCATTAGAATCTCACGTCAAATTTTTCAAATTAAAATAAAAATTTCATTCAAAATTTTCAATTCAAATTTTAAAAAGAAGAATATTTTTTGATAACCATTTTCAACGTTTATTTTCGCCCTTTTTCATTTCATCGGAACCTAGACGTTTAGTTACATATTTCAGCTCATTCACTTTTAATTTATACCTACACCAAAATTAGATTAAAAACTAGATTAGATGCTGCTCAAGTGTTGGGAATTCAACTGCCTGTTAGTATACTCAATTTTAAGACAAATTTATAAAACATTACAATGAAAATTTTTTATTCCTCTCATTCATTCAATAATCTCAAAATAATTTATTGTGCTTCGTTGATACCTTTACTATTGTTAAGGAATTTTATTCATTAAATAATGAAGTTTCGCCGAAAGAGGGTTGATCAGTTGGGGCTCCATTCCTGAAAAAGATTTGGGACCGTTGTCTTAAAGTTTGCTTGTCTTTATATTTTGTTAAGGCTAAAGCAGGGTAATATGTTGGTCATACTATTATCGAACATTCAATTGCTAAGTCAATGGTCGAACCACTTACATTTTTTTCGTATAAGAGAAATCAAACAAAAGATCCGACTTCCAAATATCATTTCTGATAACTTTCTTAGTGATTATTATAAAATTTAATTTTAAATAATGACAATTTTGTTCATGATATAAATATTCATAATAATAAATTTTATATAACTAATAAGGATTAGTAATAATAACAAATTAAATAATAGTAATAGAAATAATAATTGACTTACTCTTAGCTATAAGAAATTAATACTTTTAATTCGAATTTCTTTTATTTTTTCTCTAAAGATATTTTCTGAAAAGTTACATGATGAAAATTGAGATGTCTTTAAAGATTTGTGTCTATATTAGATATCAAGAAAGTTTGTGTGAAAAAATAATAGTTTAATCACTGTTTGGGCAATAAATTAGATGTCCTAAATTATTACAACCAATGTGAAACAGAATACTTTTTTTTACAAATTTTTCATTCCCTTGAGAATAAAGTTCCATTTAATACAATAAGGAATTGTGCAATTATGTTACATTAAAAGGAAAAAAAAGTGTTTCAAAGTAACCTCAGAATACGGTTTCTGTATGTCTTCATTTCTTTTAAAAATTTCTCATAGTACGTAAAATAAAATGTGAAGTAACGTTAAACACCCGAATCAGTAGCAGCGGTTTTTTAATATAAAAAGAAATGCAGGGCCCTGATGAAATAGCATCTTTAATCATTCGTGTTTTAAAAAAAGAAAGTTATACTGCATTTAAATTTTTTTGACACTTGTTTCTTCTTTGTGATCTTTTGAAGAATAAAACAAAATGTTAACATTTTAGCCTTTGGAAATGAATAAAACGCAAGGAAGGTGAGGAATTATACAGTTTTATTTCAATTTCAAATTTAAAAATATACAGTTCTTATTTGATCGCATATTAATTAATCTTGTATTTTAATAAAATGAAATAATTTTCGTTAAACTTACAAAGGAACATTCTTCGGTGATTAGGGGAAATTCCGTTGTAAGTTGAAGATATCTACTGCCTAATTAATATAGATTTTTTTTTCGATTTTAGAATAGTCTTCGTTCTTCGTTTCGTTTACGGCGTTCTTCTCGCAATACACTAAAAACAACAAAAAAAAAGACGCTAAAAAAGTGAAGCGTTGGTACAAGTGACAGCCATAGTATGACATTTTTTATTGTTTCTAACCAACCACCTTTTTCTTTTCCCTCATTCGTAGTTTCCTCTCCTTTATCATCCACTAAAGATTCCTTTCCATCGCCTTCACCCGAGATTGGAACTTCATCGAGATGCAACGTCTGGTCTCTTCTCTTCAGTTCTTTTAACAATTTATTATGGAATGCATTTAGATGACTTTCGAACGCATTTTTGAGTCCTTCATCAATATCTCTTATTTTAGCTAAAACTCCACTTTTAAAGTTTTCATTTTCCGCTCTTAACCTGCTGACAATGTCTGCCATCTGCTCTGTTCCAAGGTCATGAATTTCAGCTAAAAATTCTCTTTTAAAGTTTTCATTTTCCGTTCTTAATTTGTTATTAAAGTCTTCCATCTGTTTTGTTCCAACTTCAGGAATAGATTCTAAGGGTAAAGATTACCATGTTACAATATTTCAATAATTTATTCAAATGAGTAAAAATATTTATGTATCGTACGGAAACTAAAAATCAGTAAATATCCTGAATAACCTTCGATTTACTGATCGGATTTTCACACACTAGGACTAGCTTTCATCGGTTAGAGGTCTTAATTTTAAAGATATTAAAAGATAAGTACCGACGTTATTTTTGGGTACAAAATCAGATGCAAAAATGTTATTTTGAATGAGCAAACATTTTAGCCTTTGAATTCGTGTTTCTGACCCTCATGTAAGGGAAACCATGATCTCGAAAATATAGTTTCAATAGTTGAGGTTACAGAGCAGTTAAAAGTGTTGACCTCTTAATGTTAATATCCTTTTTTGTCTATTTCGCTATTTTTCAAGATAAGTGAATCGAAATTTTTGTTTGTAAACAAATTTAAAATTTGCTTATCTAAAAATAATTTTAAATAAAAGTACTACTAATGCTATGCTAATGTATACATGACACTCGCATTTCTGATTTCTTGGTGGACGGAGGTGATCTGTGGGGTCACAAAGTCCTCCGTCTTCACATAACAAATTATTCCTTTGGGGGTACTGAACTGGAGATAGATCGTTCTCTGGTTCAAATCAAAATTACGATCTGTGGATGAATCATTCCTATAAACGGGTGGGGCGTATGAGTGAGGCAGAAGTTGATTGATACACATTTTTCTTATTGCATCGAAAACATTAAATTATCACAATAAGTTGGGTAAAACATAAAAAAATATATAATACGCACTTCTAAGCAAAGTGAGTTGAATGCATAGCAGAGTAAGAGTCACAACAAAACCGAAGATGAATAATTCTTTCCCTCTGCAAAGGCGAGAAACACTATTGACAATCAACCAATCTTTAATTTCTAGAGAGGCAGGTCTTGGTTGAGATGCACTAAAAACAAAATAATATAAGAGAATTTTTCGCACTCTTTTTAACATAAAAAAATAAAGAAATAATCTTAATTTTGAATTATGAATTTTCGCTGAGCGACTGTAAGCTATAAAACTGCTACTTTTCTAAGCAAACAGGGTTAGCCTGAAAAATTTACTGTTTCAAAGGACTATTTAATCACAAGTGTCAGACTAATTGAATCGTGATGGCTCAGGGGATAGAGCATTCACCTTCCATTCGGGGGCGGATCCTGAAACTTTTCCTGGGGGGGGGCGCAGATTTCCCCCCCCCCAATTAATTTTTTTTATAATTTTTTTTTAAAATATTTAAAAGAAAGAAAAAACTGGAGTTTTTATTGCTAGTCTTCTCATTTATTTTTTTTTCATAATCAACAATAGAACAATACATAAATAATTCAAGTATTCAAAATCTTTAAATAATAAATGTAATGCGTTTTTTAGAAACTTTGGCAAAGCTGTCAATAATTTTTTCAACATCCAAATCAATTTCTAGATGAATGTTTAATAATGCGAGTCCATTTAATCGTTCTTGATTTTGAGTTGCTCTAAGCCAAGTTTTGAGACGTCGAAGAGTTGAAAAGTAACGTTCTGCTGTTGCTGCTCTAACTGGCAGAGTTATTAAAATTATCAACAACATATTAATTGATGGGTACAAATCGATGTCACAGTCATTAATAATCTTGGAAAGATCGTTGGGCACTTCAAGTCCTGCTTCTCTTTCACGCTGCCATTTCGAAAAATCGATATTTCCGACCTACATAGGTGTATATGAACCTTTAAATAATTTTTAAAATATTTTATTTCCTTTGTAAACTGTTAAAAAATTTTTTTATGATTTTCTTTCAATTTTTTTAAAATTTGACCCCTATGACACCCCCCGCGCTGGATCCACCACTGCTTCCATTGAGGTGAACCGGGTTCGAATCCCAGCGGTGGCTGGTCGATATGAATCCACCTCCGGCTCACACCGACCACAGCGTGTGACGTGAAACATCCTCAGTTTTAAACAGCTCTTGTGTTAGAGTCCCCTTGCCGTCAGGCTAACCATGAGAGGTTCTCGTGGTCTTCCTCTCCATGTAACGCAAATGTGGGTTTGTTTCGTAATTTCTCCCAATACTTCATTCAGGAGTTTGCTTGTCTTCTGGATTGGGTTCGAAATTACAAAGGCTACGATATTTGTGGAGTTGAACATTAGTAGTCGTAAACCCAAAAAATTGGGTCGGCTGTTTAACGACGGTTATAAAATAAAAATTTAATAAAAAGTGTCAGACTAAGGACACATACTCACTGGATTACGCTACAACTGTTTTTTTGTGAGCAACCTTAGACTTCCGGTACAGTATTTTCATCCCAATAGCTAACCTGTTCAATCGAAACACGTTAAATAACATTTTTCTTTTAAGGTATTTAATAACAGCAGTTCATACAATGTTTTTATTTTAGGTATTTAAACTTAGTCTTTCACAAGTTAACTTTGGTATACATTATCCTTTTCCTTCAAAATTTGGCATTTGAGTATAACAAGTGTATTCTTAACAAAATTTGAGCGAGGGTTACGTCATCTTTGTCCTTCAAGAGTTGGAATTTGGGTACATTTGGGCTGGACGGAACTTGTTTACAATTAGTATCGTGTACTGGGAAACTAATCAAACAGGCAAACTTTGATGTTTCGTAGTATGTACCAGGAATCTATGTGAATCTATATATCTTTCCACACATCACCCATCTTAGTATGTTGTCACGGAAAAGTCTTTTGAAACTGCATGAACTAATTGTGTTTTCCCCGTCGATTGCATACTAATATGTGTGGTTTAATGTACATTGAAATCAGTTGTATATTTCATACAGAACTTATTTTAAGCTACGGCCATTAAAGATGTATTTGTGGAAAATTTATTCCCAAATTTAAAAAAAAAATGAAAAGATGTAAAAAAAAAGTTGCTTTTACCTTTCTTGGTCCACTTTTTTATTTTCATTCAATACATGTGTCTCACTCATTGCTGTCACACTATCACATTCAATGCATCCGTCAGACTAAATGTAAAAAAAATATTGAGAAAAACATATTCGTATCAAATAAAGGATATCCAGAAAAAATAGAGAAAAAGGGGGATACTTTTAAAAGAAGGATGTAGCTTTGAAATTCTAAGCTGCTTTTTATTGACCCATTTGCAAAATGGGTCTTAGTTTGGATATGATGGCGTGCGCACACTTTTCAACTGTGTTCAAGAGCAATAGAAATAGTGCGCATGCGTCGTCATTGCATGCTGTTTTTCTGATTATTTTCACTAGCAGGCATTTTTAATGTATTTACATAATAATAATTTAAAGTATTCTTAGATTCTTTGTATTATTAACGTATAATTACTGGCTTGACGGTGATTATAATATAAATATGAATGCTGAAGAAAAGTATTTTGTGACCTTTTGAAACACGTACATAGGCAAGATTTGAAAACCAATCCGGCGACAAACCTCGATTGAGACAGTTTTTGCAACGCATGATCTGAAATGTTGTAGCGATTAACGTATTCAATCCAGGAAAAAAAAGCATTTGACCAATGATCGTGTTAAAGTGATCTAAAAAATAATAAATTCAGTGGCGCAACAGCCCATAAAGGGCCAAGGCCTTCTGCGCCCAAAGCCTACTGTGCCATCCAGAAAGAAAAAGCATTTGACTAATATGGGTAACCAATGATCGTAATAAGTCGATCACAACATTTTTTTATAATCTTTTTGTTTTTATATATTTTTTAAAATTTCTTTTTACCTATTTTCCCTTCAAGCATCCGGTATTTTTATGTCCAGTATTTTTCCCTTCGCCCTTCAGAAAAACCTAAAAAGTTTAAATCAATAAAAATTCATGGCTGATAGTTTGGCGTCAACACTTTTTAAATCATGAAATAAGCATGCATTTGTGTAAAAATGTCCATAAAAGGACTTAACGCGAAAAATAACATTTACGGTTTTGCCTACCACACCTTAAATGATGAACGAAATCGCTTTATATCAATAGAAATGTAAAAAAATGAGATACGAAAAATCATTATCAACCAGCATATTTGTCTAGGGAAAATAATATAAGTATCATAAAAAGGGAGTGTTATTTTAAAATGAACTAGTCATTTTCAATTCCTCTTTTGTAATGATGTATCTTGTGAGGAGCTGGTCATAGATTCAGAAAATGTAATTTTTATTTCCTAAAATGAGAAATTACAGCACCTAAAATACTGTGATCGAAAGTTGCGCGGAACAAGCAGCATACGTACTGTAGATTCTATTATATCTGTAGGTCGTTTGTAGTACTATTTTTAAAAAAAAAATGCAGTGTAATAATTGCTACACAAAACAAAGATCACCGTAATAATATGTATATGTGTTTTTTGGTTGCGTAATTATTTAATTTTTCGTTTAGAACTGTATTAATTGTATTAACTATCGCCATGAACTGTATTAACCCTATAATGTGTCATTTCTATCCGCACTTGTAGTGTTAACCCTAGTTCGAATTAATCATAATATGCTTGATTTACAAGTCATTTTCTTTAAGAATTAGTCTACGTATGCCACCTGAATTTCTGATTTTTACTTGATATTGTTATCGTTAAAAACAATTTACTGATTCTTATGTGTAATATATCTTACTGATAACAAACACGGTGGTTGGTGTTGGCTGCTTTACACCAAGTAGTGTAAAAGAACATTCTAGATGTATCACAGCACCCAGAACAGCCTTGGGTTGTGGACAGGTCTTTGCAACGAAGCCATTATAACTCTAAAGAGTAGTCATGTTGAGACTGCATTTTCAAAGCAGTTTGTCATCAATAAATGATTTAAAAAGAATTTGTAGTTTACTATTTTTTTAAATAAATAATTGAAGGCAACTACTAAATAACGGTTCTTCTAACACTGGCTAAAAAAACGACTTAGAAGAAAGTAAACTCAAACTTTTTAAAAATATTAACTAAAACTAATTATTTTCAATTATTACATAAAAAAAATAAAAGTTTCAATTTTTAGCATATTTTCACTTACATATTTTTCCTTATACATTTTTATAACTATACATCTATATGTACTTATACATTTACTTATACATTTTTGCTTATACATTTTTATCCTATCTATGGCATGAAAGACATTCTATTTATGATGTATAACCTCATATATAGGATGTTCTTCGTAGAATATTTTTGCAGTAATAAGAAAGACAACCAGACTCAAGTGATAAGATATTGACGAGCCATATAACAGTCCAAAAAGTTATTTGAACCAAATTACTTACTTTTCTTATGATTTATCATTATAATAAAACGTTTCTATTAATGAAGGTAAAATTTTGACAATCGCTTTCAAAAACAAAAAAAATTCATCCTTTTAAGGGATGCGAAATTTTGTCGTATATACTGAAAGTTGAAATTCCGAAGAGTAAATTCTTTTACTAGAATTTAAAAATATATGCAAAGCGCTGTTATTATGGTGGTGATACGGGTAGAATCCATTTCCTGTATACTTCTAGGTCGAGGTTATGATCCCCTGAACTAAAAGCAAGATGCAAGATTGGATTGACTTTTTGAATAGAGCCTTCCGGAGATTAGGGAGCATGGTGCGGAGGCCGATCATTTGCCTTCTGATCAAAACTCTAGTGTTCGTATGCGCAAGTATTGTCTTCGGTTTATTATTCAGGATAAAGTCCAGCGACGTATTAGAGTAGCACCAATCAGATGTTCCAAAGCGATCAAACTCTTACAAAACAGGTGAACAGTGCATCATTACACTTACAGAAAAATAGGTGTAATTTATCATTCGAAAATTAGTTTAATATTTTTTGTTAGTTTGTATGTCTTTGAAAAAGTCTTTGTTGATCGGAGTTTATAGTTATGTAGATAAAATACAATGTAGATATTCAAAAGTTCATAGTTAGAATGAAAAGTTCAATCATAATAAAAGATGTGAATGCTAATAGTTTTACAAAAAATTTTGTTTGCCCTGGTGCAAATATGTTACCAAATTAGCATCTAAGCACAGTCAAATAAGTTTTAAAATGATAAAAATATTTGTTTGTTTAATTAAGGAGAAAATTCTTTATTATAAAGTAATTCATATAGAGAAAAGAAACCTTTATTTTGAGTTACAGTGAGTAAGCTTATTGCTTATTTTATATCCCTTTGCGTAAGAATTTCGTAAAAAGTAAAACTTTCCCTGACAATTAAATATTTAACTTACTATTTCTTCGGTAATTATTCCAATTCTAGAGTCACTTACGAATTCTGATTCTTTTTCAGGTTCGTTATGTCTAAAAGATCTTTGGATAATAGGGCTTGATGAAAGAGCCATTTTGGAATACTTCTTCCATGCCATTTCTTTGCCTCTTTTTACTTTAACCATATTTCCTGTGCTACAGCTTCTCCTTTTAGATTCTATTTTTTGGATCCGATATCTTTCATGTAATCTGGATCAAAGAAATACATATGTACTCTTATAGTACAAAATTAGGACATGTTGCTCATGTAGCATTTTTAATAATAAATAATTTTTAAAATCTCTGGACACTTTTACAAAAGTTAAAAATTTTAAACAATTAAAAAACAGTCTATAACTATAATGTAAAGGTAAAGCAGTCTTTTTAAAGTTTTTCTCAAAATATGGTAAACATTTAAAGCTTATTTCTAAAATGAAGAGAAAAAAATTTAAAAATCAAGTATGAAATGATCAGAATAACTTTGAAGTTATTCTCAGAATATGCATTAACGCTAATTTTATGTATACATATTTTTAAAATAATATTAATAAACTGCATATTGGATGCATTTTGGGAGTTTCAAAAATGTGGCGATGATTTGGCCGACTGACGGACATTTTTAAAACACCATTTGCTGCCTTTTGCCCTGTCATTCATAGTGTGTAGTACACAACACAACTACATAATACATTACACACTGTACAGTACTAAAACATTGGACCACTTGGAATAATTTTTTATCCAATTTTCGGATCTTTACGTTCCAGGACAAACTTAATGGTTAAAGGGGTGATCTCAACCATGCTAACTATTTACTGCAGACGTTAGTTTAAGTCACAAAATTAGACACAAACGCGTACTTTGTCTGAATAAACATACCTTTAATTCCAAGGATTCGAATTTCTGACATCCAAAATATATGGTCCCAATAGTTTAGGTAAGAGAGCGGTACAAATTTTGAACTACTATTACATGAATTTAATACTAATTTAATTTTTTTGCGTATTTCACTATAACTCGTAAACTTTTGAAGCAACTAAAAACAATTTTGCACACAATTTTAAAATTTGTTTGTCCAAAGATAATTCCAAGTAAAAAAAAAAAAGTATTTTTTCTTATATTTCGTTTAATAATATTAGAAAAATTTTCAAAGATACATCATTTTAAAACTTCATATTTTGCATGGAAAAACACAAAACTTAAGCGAAATCGGTAAAATAGTTTGAGAAATCAAATTTTTCAAACATGACTTCGATAACTTTTATTTATAGCAGCCATTTCCATTAATTTATCACGCTACAATTCTTTGACGATATAAATACAAAAACAATCATTTTAGTAAACTAATTACAATTATCACAAAATAATTATAAATATTTTGACACTTTCCGAACCTACTTCTCTTAACAAAGATTATATGCAGTTTTGGATGCTTCAACTTAGCGAAAGCTTATTTAAGAACTATTTACATTAAAATTTCTCTTTTTTTTCCTGGTTAGTATATTTCAATTAATATCAATTTAGAATTTGAAATGAAACAAAATAAATGTTTATTCACAATAGGCCCAATCACACTATTAAATTGATTGACTTTTTAGTTATTACCAAATTAATAACTAATACACGAAATTGCATTTTTCTGTTATAAATTTCCTGATAATAAGTCTGTTTATCATAATATTTATATTTAATAGTAAAAAAATATTTATAATTGATTTCTTTACGCGAATTATAAATATTTTTATAACCATTTTTTTTTTACAATAAGCAGCCACTTGTATTATAGTAGAGAGTTTTTCATACTCTGCATTTAAAACTATCGCAAAACTTAAGCAACTCGTGTTTAAATTCTTTTATTAAAAACCTCAACATTACACTAAAACCAAATAAGAGCTGCAAAGCATTTATTAAACTAATTAAAATTATCACAAAATAGTTATGAAATAAATTGATTATTTTCGAACCTATTTTTCTTCAACAAAGATAATGTGCAGTTTTGGATGTTTCAACCAGCAAAAGCTTATTTAAAAACTATTTACATTAAAATTTCTCTCTTTTTTTCTTGGTTAGTATATTTCAATTAACATCAATTTAGAAATTGAAATGAGACAAAATAAATGTTTATTCTTAAATAGGTCCAAGCACACTATTACATTGATTGACTTTTTAGTAATTATTAAATCAATAGTTACTATTATCTAATACACAAAATTGCATTTTTCTGTTATAAATTTCCTGATAATAAGTCTGTTGATCATAATATTTATAGTTAATAGTAAAAAAATATTTATAATTGATTTCTTTACGCGAATTATAAATATTTTTATAACCATTTTTTACAATAAGCAGTCACTTGTATTATAGTGGAGTGCTTTTCATAAACTGCATTTAAAACTATTGCAAAACTAATGCAATTCATGCTTAAATTCTTTTATTAAAAACTTCAACATTACAGTAAAACCAAGTAAACGCTGCAAAACATTTATTAAATTAATTAAAATTATCACAATATAATTATAAAATAAATTGATTATTTTCGAATCTATTTTTCTTCAACAAAGATAATGCGCAGTTTTGGAGGTTTCAACTTGCAAAAGCTTATTTAAAAACTATTTACATTAAAATTTCTCTTCTTTTTCCTTGGTTAGTATATTTCAATTAACATCAATTTAAAATTTGAAATGAGATAAAATAAATGTTTATGTTTATTCACAAATAGGCCCATTCACACTATTAAATTGATTGACTTTTTAGTAATTACTAAATCAATAGTTACTATTATCTAATACACAAAATTGCATTTTTCTGTTATAAATTTCTTGATAATAAGTTTGCTTATTATAATATTTATATTTAATAGTAAAGAAATATTTATGATTGATTTCTTTACACGAATAATAAATATTTTTACAACCATTTTTTTACAATAGGCAGCCACTTGGATTACAGTAGAGTGTTTTGCATAAACTGCATTTAAAACTATTGCGAAACTAATTCAACTCTTGCTTAAATTGTCTAATTAAAAACCTCCACATAAAAGTAGATCCAAATAAATGCTGCATAATACTTACAAGAGCAAAATATAACATCTAACTTTCTATTATTTTATTTATTTTATTGAAATTACATACATTTGCTGACTTGCGTGCTCAATATATAGGCTTATAAGTCATTGTCAAGTAGAAAATACAGATAGAACAATTCAGAGAAAGACATCACAAAGAATACATCCAGGGTTACGGCGGGATTCGAACCCGCTACCTCCACGCTTAACAGAGCGTTTGGACCGGCGATACCGCTCGGCCAGGGAGGCCCCGCTCTAACTTTCTAGGAGAGCAATGAGGGTTTTATTTAATTGGAATTACATACATTTGCAGGATTGTGTGCTCAATTCAGGCTTATAAACTTAAGTTAAATAAAAGGACAAATAGCACAATACAGAGGGCAGCACGAAGATACATCCAGGGTAACAGCGTGATTGGAACCGGCTACCTCCATGCTTTGCACAGCGTTTGGCGGGTGATACCCCTCGGTCAGCTAGCACCCAATGAGGGTTTTTGTTGTTCATCTGTAATCGAAGAATGACGGTTGCAACCCCTAACATCGGGGTGAACAGAGCAGTGTATAGCAGTGTCTACTCAGCGCTCGATTTGTTGTGGATTCAACTCTGAGCTGCACCGCGTTAATAATACCAATACCTGCTAATCTCTTGGCTTACCAAAGCTGAGTAATCACATCTGTTTGTAATCCCATCTGGCGAGAAACAAGGAGTTTTCCTTACAAGAATATACATGTTCATAGTTCTGATTGTTTTGCTAAGGAGAATGAATGCTTTTCTAAGCATTTGTTGGTAAGCCAGAAAGTCGTAACTCTCAGTTCTGACTTATTGCCTATGGAAACTGAGATAAAGTCCAATTCGCTTAAGGTTTCAACAGTTTTTATGATACGATTAATTTTTCTTAAAAGTTATTTTCTTATATTTTTGAAAACAAAAAGATGCAATGAAAAAAAATTGAGATACGCCTTTTTTACTTACGACGGCAGTATAGTAGTTGATTGCTCATTGATAAATTTTCAGTTGGCAAGTATGTGACTTGATGTTAGTTTAGACATATCTATATTGCTAATAATAGGTCAATTCAGAGAAGAAGCTCCCCTGCTTTGGTATCCCTACGACCTACATGAGAAATCGAGCACAACAAGGACTGATATCACGCACCTTCGGTAACTATGGAGGCTGATCAAAGTGATCACCCACCAGCTTACTGACTTAAAATATTGAAGGGATAAGTAGTCCCCAAAATAATTGCAATTGTCCCCAAAACCTAACCAGTTTCAAATATCTTCACTAATAAATATAAGTTGAGTTTAAGGCAAACATACCAACGCATTTCTTGACAAAGTATTCTCACCAAATACAGAATCTTACTTTTCAGAACTTGCAAATTTTATAAGCTTCTATTCTGAAAGACGAAAATGATCAATACATGTTTCCGATTCATCAAATTCAGCCTCGCATATTGCTTCATCAACAGCACAAAGATTATCTCTGATTTTCATTTTAGTGTCTTATCAATAATAATAACTCTTAACAAATGTAATTTCGGGAGATTAAATCAATGAAATTGTATATTAGCTCAAATGATGCTTCTCGGATAAATTACAATAGCAAACTATTCATTTATCACATTAAACTCTAAAAATACTTGGATTCAGTAGTATAATAATCAACTCCCAACATTGAAGCTTTTAGAACACCAAAAGCAATGAACGGAAGCTAATTCTTGATGAGATGAACTAATTTTTGATAGTTGTTTCGTATACCGTGAGTTTTATCCATATTACGTCAACCATAGTTATCTATAATGGATCAGTACTTAAGCCATTGTGGATTATCTAAAAATAAGCTATTGAAAACGTCTAGTATACGACGATATTTAATCCACGATGTCTAATGAATCATAAGGATGAATTCTGGTAGTCTACTGGATGAATTGTGCTGTTTGGTGAGGATGATCCGAAGACACAAAATTTTGATCCTCTGCAGAGGTTACCCTGCTTTGGTAGCCCGATGACTTGCGCTCCAACACATTACTTTACCTTAGAACAATTTAACGGAGACCGATTGCAGGCTGATCAAAGTGGTCGCCCACCCACTCACTGACAGCAACCAATGATGCTTTTGCCTTTCGAATCTGTGACTATTGACTCTGTTTTTCGAAAAATGTGTGAAGTTTGAAATGAATTTCACTTGCAGTTAACTATATATCAATTATGGTGTTCGAAGACCTGGCATTATACGCTTGCGTCTTTTTAAATATCATTATAGTATTTTGTAAATGTGTGACATTGGGTCACTCACTATTTTAAGATCTCAAATTTATATAGTCCCTTTGTTCTAAAAAGGAAGGGACTCCTTTTACCGGAGAAGTAAAAGTAAAAAATACAAAAATAGAATGCGACGTGCTAAGCGTCGGCAGCACTTAAATAGCAACATGCTGCAAACAAATTGCAGTTACAAGTAGCTTGGAGACCACTCATTTTCTTGTGATTAGGGTCTGCAATGCGTGTTGAACTAACTGCTTTCCATACTGCAATTTTAGATTCCTTAATCACGGCCTAATCTAATGGCAGGAAGCACACTTGTGCAGTTTGCAGGAAAAAGTGAACTTTCACATTTTCCAAAAAATTAGTATCCGATGAGTGAGCTGGACATTGGTCGATAAATAGCAAAATTTTTAGTTTTTGCCTCTTCATAAAATTGTCTAGTTTTTTCAGCCATCTAGTAAAAATTTCGGTCGTCATCCACGCATTCTTATTGGAGTCATAATCCAGCAGAAGCGTTTTAATATTCTTTAGACATCTGGGCTTTTTTTTCTTCATTTTCCTACCGTCCCGCAGTGGACTGATCATTGAGACACGGTTCCCAGCGGATCACCGAAGTTAAGCATCACTGGCTACGGTCAGTGTGCGGGTGGGTGACCACTTGGATCAGTCTGCGTAGGGACCGAGGGTGTGCGGCATGGGTCCTCGTTAAACTGTGCTACCGTAAAGTGCTCGACTTCGCGTGCAGGTCGTTGGGCTACCGAAGCGGGGTATGCCATCCCCTCTGCAGAGGATCAAAATTGTGATGGCATGTCTTCGGATCATCCTCAGGGATGTTTTCCAGACCGTCGCCAATAGCCCATTGTGCAGCTCTAGTGCAACGTAAATGAACTACAACTACAACTTCATTTTCCTACCACTAAAGGAGTGATCTTTTCACTTCCATCAGAGTTTACACAAAGCAGTACAATAAGGCGATCTTTGCTTTTTTTTTTCTCCTTTACATTTTTTGTCTTTATAAGCTAATGTTCGATTCGTTATTAGATGATAGAAAAGACCCGTGTTTAGTGTGAAGAATAAAAGTAAAATAAACGTAAACAAAATCTAAAAACCGACGTATAACCGATTCTGTGCGTCATATAAACGATTTATTTTTACATCAAAATTAATAGGAATGAATGGGGACCACACTAAAACGTCGTATAAATGTAAACGTCGTATAAACGATCGTCGTATAAATGATGCTCCACTGTAGTTAATATAATGCATGTTCATATATGAAATGGATCCTTATAATTCTTACCATTCTAGTCATAACAGCTCAGCTTGAGACTTTACAATCTTCTTTCATTCATACGAATGTCAGGTTATCGATATGAGTTCCTCATCCCTCTCTCAATAGTGTTTGGAAATGCTGCCTGCACTAATTTGCCTCTCGGGTACCATGATTTTTCACCATAATTTTTTCTTCCATTTTCTCTTACTCAACGTTGCATTTTCCTTTCTTAAAATCTGTTTTGCTTTCTTCATTTTCGAGTTAGAATATAATTTTCGGTAACCCTTAGATTATCAAGTTCGTTCTGTCCCGACGTGGGCTAAAGCTGTTTTCTGAAAAACGGTTTTGAACTCGGGAGGGCTTGGACTCATGATAAAATTTTCACAAACTCTTTTTATAACTTTTGAACAAACGTTTAGTTCAGCTATTAAGTATAAAAACTGTAAAATTTAAAAGGTATAAAAAATTAAAAATCTGGTACTTTTGTTGGACTCTTTTTTAGTTAGGTCTAATAAAGATGCCTGGCTTAAGATTTTTTTTAAAATTTTTGTATATTTATTTTAGTGTTTCTGTTAGTACGATAACTGGCGTAGGACGTCGTTACTTAACGGGCTGATTTGATCGAAATGTGGTTATTGTAAGCGTGACAAACTTACGGCGTTCGAACATTCTGCGTTCAATGAGAACGTTCGGCGTTCAATGAGAACGTTTGGCGTTCAATGAGAGATTATGAGAGAGTAAAAAATAATATTCGATGTATCGTGAATCATGTGAAGCAAGGCCGGGATAGCCTGGTCGGTAGGGTGCTGGGCCCATGTCCAAGAGGTCGTGGGCTCGATCCTCGTCGGCCGAAGACTCCCCGTGTAGTAAATGGTGACTTATGCACGTTAAATCTGTCGAGTTTTAAAGTCCTCCATGTTCACATAACAAATCAATACCTCTGGGGGTACTGATCCAGGAGTCTCCTTGTCTTCTGGATTGGTTCAAAATTACAATACTACGGAGTTGAACATTTGTAGTCGTAAACCCATGAAATTGGGTCGGCTGTTCAACGACGGTTATAAAATAAAATAAAAATAAAATCATGTGAAGCGAGCACCATTTAGATGCTGATATCAGTGCAAAAAAAAAACTTCTTAATAATTTTTCAAAATATTTGAAAATGCAAGCTTGCAGTAACTTGCACCCAGCTTTGTGCCGAGGATTAATGTCAATCAAAATTTTAAAAAATGTTGTGTAGTTAAAGTTACACTTTCCGTGTTGGAAAAAATGTTAAAAGAGAGCACGAAAAAGTGGCTGACAAAAAAGAATTGCAATCGTTGATATCTATAAAATTTTAACATTTTTACATTCAAATTTTAAATTCCAGATAAATAAATAACAGATTATGAAAAAATTTAATGTTCCTTCAAAAATACGTGAAATGATACAGAATGTTC